AAAACCAAAAGTATGTAAATAACTTTTCATCACTATAAAAACAAAAAAGTATCTCTCAAATTGAAATTTAAAAGCACTCAAGATTCAAAGGATAGGGAATTTTACATATAACTAGGGGCAATTTACTGTGTTAACTCTCAACTGTTTATTTTCTTACTCAAATATTTGAAAAATTACTTTTTCTACACTAAGATGCTTATTACAGTGATATTAAAAAGGAGAAATAACCCTAAGAGCCATTGATAAGAACTAGTTGAAATTATGGCAAAATAAATTTGTTATCACATGGGCAGGGTAGCTCAGGTCTATAATTGCTGCAGTTGGAAGGCAGAAACAGGATTCTGTGTTCAAAGGCAGTCTGAAGGACCGCAGCTTACTACAGAAATAGGTAGCCACTGCTGGATTTTGAGAATACTATCATCTGTGCTATAGAGACAGTATGCGGTAGCAAGGGCAGGAAGCAGTGAGACTAAGGAATGGTGCTAGGAATTCACTGATGGTAGATGAACTCATAATGTACTGGATGTGAAATGTGATGAGTCAAGGAGGGGGCATCTCCAAGTTTTAGAACAAAGCAACTAAAATGAAGGTTAGCTTAATGTTGGCTCTAATGGGGGACAGAGTGGAATTTGTGGAAGTGAATATTTACAAATACATTCCTAACTACAGTTCAGGTATTATCATGGCTTAAAAGAACTTAAGGCTGTGGAGCTTGGCTTGATAGGGATGGACAAATAACTGAAAATTTAAAATCCCAAGAGCATTTTCTAAGCTCCAATCACTTCTGCTGTCAGAACTCCTCAGAGCTTCCAGTGTAAACTCTATGTAGTGTGACTAAGATTTGAAAGGCTACAAGTATAAAACCCACTAAGTAACACATCCTCAAATAGGGAGGCCGTGAGTAACTGGCATTTTGTGGCCATGTTGGTAGCAGCTAGAAGAGTATTCAACCACAGCTGTTTGTATCATCTACCGTCTAGAAACCAGATGCATGTAAATGAACTCCACCAAAGAAAATGGAGCCGAAACTTAGACACATTTAACAGGTCTTCTGTTCTGTTTCAAAGTAACTTATCTTATGTGCACTGGTGTTTTGCCTGCATGTTTGCCTGATCTTGGAGTTACAGTTGTTAGCCGCCATGTGGGTGCTAGGAATTGAACCGAAATCCTCTGGAAGAACAGTCAGTGCTCTTAAAAGCTGAGCCATCCAGCCCCCACTTACCACTCGATAAAGCTAAGAATTAACCTTACTTCTCGAGTGTACGCCACAACTATACAGTATTCTCAATTTCTACTCCAAAATAGGCCACTAAATATGAATGTTGCAAACTTAAGCACAAACCCATGGCCTTCCAAAAAGCACTTCTTCATATTACCCTAAGCCCATATTTTTCATGGTATGGCAATGAGAATCCCAGGCCACAGTTTGCACCTGATGCACAGGAGGTGATCACCTAGCCTGTCAGGATGTTGTTCTGCTCGTCTTTGTAATTTGGAGGATGCCTGAAAAGAGATGTTTATTCAGCCTACGTGACAGAGCTGGCATACAAAGCAGGAAGGCGTGACAGAGCAGGCATAGGTAGATGTGGACACGACCACAACCATTCACTTGGTTACCTAGGAAACAGAATGCTAATGAATTTCCCCCAGTTTGTTTTGGTAAATAAGGCTGCTAGGAAAATAAACGGAGGAATTTTCAGAATGTGAACTCAGGATTTCATGAGTTTACTCATGAAATTTACTGAGAATCTCACTCCTTGATAAAGCCACTTGAGATGTCTCAATAATTCCCACACCTCCCCTCTGGTCTGGAAAAATAATTTAGGATCCAGACTGGCACTAGACCCAGACATACTTAATGAGAATTTTTTGGTTTTGAGACAGGGTTTCTCTGTTTAACATTCCTGGCTGTAGACCAGGCTGGTCTTATTTAATTCACAAGATCTGCCTCTGCCTCCCGAGTGCTGGGATTAAAGGTGTATGCCACTACTGCCTGGCTCAATAGTGCCTTCAGTTTGCTTTCATCAACCAGACTCTTCCCATTCCTTTTACGACAGGCCAAGTTCTTACCACATTTTTTTTTCTCCACCTTAACTGTAATTAAGTCACATAACTTAAGACTTAACTCCAGTTCTCAACTTCAAAATCATATGGCTACATGATTACCATTTCTTGGACAGCGAATACTCATTAGTCCTTGAATATCTCCTAATGCACTCCATCTTTTCACCTTGTCTCTTAGTCCACTGACCCTGTATGCTACCCCCTTTACTCCTGATGAACAGTTATGAAGTTTACTGGCCTACCTACCACATCTTTTTCCCAACTTACTCTGCAACAAAGATATTTTGAAATAAATACTAACTAAATTGTGCCCTTTCTTACCCATTAGTCAATCGGTGATACTTAAGATTTTTTAAACTACAAGTGTGTGGTGGGGGTTAATGTGTGCCACTGTACTTATGAACACAGTTGTCAATTCTCTCCTTAGACCATGTGGGTCCTAGAGATGGAACTCGGGTCCTCAAGACTGGCTGGCTGGCTACAAGTGCCTTTACCGGCTGAGCCATCTCACCGACTCGTATGACTTACAAGCCTTAGGCTCTAGCATTAATAAATCCCGTACCTCTCCTAAGTCTTACTACATGCTTCAGACAAACATTCTTTAAATTCCTACTACACTGAACATTCCTGCCAAAAGGATTTTTTTCATAAGACCCTCCCTCTCCCAGAAAGCAGGTGTATCCCTCTACCAGGTCTTACTCTTCAAGTTTTGGGATACTGTTAAGGAAATAAGCCAACACTTTCCAATGAGCTGAGTGTGGGAAGCTCATTTCATGTAAGGTCTGATTGGATAGACATGAGGACTTAGCGGGTAAAGTGACTCACCACAAAAGCCGAATGACGAGAATCCGAAAACCCAAGTAAAAAAAAAAATAATTAAATTAAAAAAAGTGCTGCAAGTTTTTTATCTCAGGATTTTTTTACTGTGATTCAAAGTGCTAATAGGAGATTCACCCATCTAATCACAAGCCACAACCTTGAGTGTGCCACCAGACAGAAATGAAGGAGATGCTATCTCAAGATGCAAACCAGCTATCTCAAGATGCTAACGAAAGATCAATCAGAAAAGGCCCACAGTAATGTTAGAAAACAATCCTATTTCATGATTGGGGTTAGGAAACAAGTAGAAAGAGAAGACTCTTAAGTCCTTTGTTGGGGGGCAGGACGGACACTTTGCCCAGGTTGGAACTGTAAGGTAGAGTGTCTAGCTATGCAGGAAACCTTCAGTTTGGATGCAAAACACAGCAGAAACTGTTCTCAGCACTTTTCACAGCTTAAAAGCAAAACCCTCTATTGTTAGCATAGGGGTTTGGGGAAGTGTAAACACACAGAAGTTCCTAACCAGGAGCCAACTTTTCTAAGCATCCCAAATTCAACACCATTTTCAACTACAACCCAAGTTTGAGGCAATGCAGGCTGTGACTGGTTACTATACAGTTTGTGTTCTAGAGCCTTAAATTATTCTAATAATGCCACTTGAAAAAAGCACAAGAAACCTCACAACACCACAGAAGTGCTGATGGTAACACGCTTTATCTTGCTTAGCGTTGTCACCCTCAACATAGTCAGAACTTTATAGTTAATAAACCTGGAATCCAATTAAACATTTGTGTACCGGTCTCTCTGTTTTGTTTTTGTTTTTCAAGGTAGTGTTTCTCTGTAGCTTTGGAACCTGTTCTAGAACTAGCCCTATAAACCAGACTGGCCTCAAACTCAGAGATCCACCTATCTCTGCCTCCCAAGTATTGGGTTTAAACACATGGGCCACATATTCTCTCTCTTTTTAAAGTATACTCTCATATAGTCCAGGATGGCCTGAATCTCATGAGGATAAATCTGAACTTCAGATCCTGATGTGCCACCACTGTAGCTAGTTTTATGTAATGATCTTTAACCACGGCTTCCTGCATGCTATGCAACTACCCTAGCAAATGAGTTACAGCTCCAGTGCAAATGGATCAGATATCTGAAGAACACATCTGTTACTATTTAAAAGTATGTCTTATGTTCCCAAGTGTAGTGGTATGTTGTGATCCAACAAATAAAGCTTGCCTGAAGATCATAGTGCAGAGCTAAGCCACTAGTTAGCCATAGAAGCCAGGCAGTGTTGGCACATAGCTTTTCCACTAGGGAGGTGGAGACAGGAGTCATATGGCTGGGCACAGACAATAATAGTAAGGCGGGAGGAGACAGGAAGGCACTCAGATTCAATCTGAGGTTTCACAGAAACAGGATACCTACCCCATTCGATCTGAGCACTGGTAGAGGTAAGAACTCTTAATGGTTGGCTGCTCTGCTTCTCTGATTTTCAGCATTAACCCCTACATCTGATTCTGGGTTTCTATTATTAAGAACAGTTAGAACATGTTACACCCAAGTCAGCTAGTAAACCACTGCTGTGATCTAAAAAGTTTTACTTCTAAAGATTTATTTAATGTCCACGAGTGTTCTGCATATACAACTTTATACCAGAAGAGGGCACCAGATCTTATTACAGATGGTTGTGAGCCAACAAGTGGTTGCTGGGAATGGAACTCGGGAATTCTGGACGAACAAACAGTGAGTGCTCTAAGTAGCTGAGCCATTCGTTACTTTAGGCCAGGTTTTCACTTCGAAAGGACTGGTGACGTTTCATAATCTCCCTAAGACGAGGCAATCATAACTGTATCCAGATGGCTCAGCAAAGATGACACCACCCAACCCCTGCAAATTGTCCCCCATCCTCCACACACAGATCATGGCATGCACATGCACTCATAGAATATAAATGTAATTAAAACTTTAAGAATATGCCAAAAGAAAACAACCACTCAAGGAGGTTGGCTTAGACAAAATACAGGTGACATCTAATTTGTTAGTATTGCATTTTCCCCAGATATTACTCAAAGTGAAACAAAATAAACTATAAGTAAAACAAAAAAGGACAAACTGCAAAGTATTATCAAAACTTTTTATTTTCAATACAAGATAAATACCATGCTTGTTACTAGTGCAGTTTAAGGCCAACAATGACCATATAGCAAACTGCTCAACAGTCACCTAAATGCTAAAGGAAGGAGAGACAAAGTAAACATTAAACACAAAATTGCAAGTACAAACATTTTAATAAAATGGGAATGAGCCTTTTGAAAGAAGCTAATATGGAAGTCTAGTTTTCATGGACATCAAAATGATGCCTATTTGATGGAATATTACCTTACCTTTTGCACAGAAATCTTATGAAGTCACCACACCACATTCAACAGCTAAAATTTCAAGACTTTTCTTTGGCCTTCTGATATTAGACAGCTTATTTACAAAGGATGATTATTCAATAACTCATGAGTACTGTAATATGATACAATTTTTTGTTGTTAAGGGCTTTCCATTAAAAATTGTAAAACAACTTTGTAAGGCTGTTCTGGACTGTAAACTACTTTGCTAATACACCACGGGATGCAAAAGAAAAAATACTAGACCTCTTTAAGGCTAAAGTCATAAATGTTATAGATGCAGTCCTCAAAACACATTATAATTCACCCCAAAGGGTCATTTCCCATTAAATACCACCTGAGTACAATTTCCAAAAGAAAAAATAATAAACAAACATGAATTTACCACTGTATTTTAAAATAATTTGCATACAGAAAATGATGAGAAGTGTTACGCAGTAACAGTGTAGCAAAAAATACACCTTCAAAATGAAATATTTCTACTAAAAGAAGGGTCTCTCCAATTATGAAATGAATGTTAATTTACTCCCATGGTGGAGTGTCAGGTACTCCCACATGAAAAACTGCTCGTAGTATTTACTATCCACAGATACCATTTCAGTCAAAATTTATGTGACTTCAATTAAATTTTACCTAATATTTTAAAAGCCTCCCATTACAATATAATTAATGTGATGGGACATCTTTAAAACCCTGAAATCTGGCTATACGTAACCAAGAGTTCATCCACCCCATACAAAAGCCACAGTAGCTGTATAGTCAGAGAAGGCCGACAACCTGCAGCTTAAAAAAACACTGGGTTAAGACAAACCTAAACCAATCTGAACATAACACAATACACTGAATAGTTCAAATACCCATAAATTCATATTGTTTCTTTCTAATGCCAAGAAAGAAGAGTATAAGAACTTCCTCCCAGAAGCCTAGACACTTAATACATTTTCTACTTTGACTTAAAATAAAACAAATTCTAAATCTTGATTTAAATAAAATCTAAATTTAAAAAAAAATCACATTATGAACACAAGAAATACCATATATAAGGCCACATCTCAATAAATTCATAATTTTTGGTTAAATGTTTATTTAAAAATTAGTCTAAGGCTTCTAGGAGTCAAGTTGCTAAAAAATAAATACACTGGTGTTTTAATTGAAGATTAAAGTTAACACATATACTATAAGAACATAAAAATAGAATGCTTTGCTACAAAAATCCTACTTAATATATTTCAGCACAAAAATGTCTAATATGTACAGTGGAGAAGCGTGCATTTAGTAAGTACATACAACTAGGGGAAACATTTACAGAGAGCTAAGGGTGCAAATGAACTTCAATGAGTAAAATTAAAAAAAATCAGTTATCTGTGCAATAGCAAGAATATCAATACTGTATTCTCAGTAAAGAATCAGAACATAAACTTCCTCTTAAAATAACTTAAGCTAAAACTTAAGACCCAACTCTGGGGCTTGCAAGATACAAATAATGCAATGACCACCTGGGTAACAGAACTGGAATGTCAAGAGCACTCAGTAGAGCCTTGCACTAGCATCTCATTGTATGAAACAGAAAAGTACTTATTGGCACATTTCAACACACAGGGAAAGAAAGTCTTACCCTTTTCAACAATTTCCCTTCACTACAAAATGCTATAATGCTCATCAAAACCTCCATGTTTATTTTTTGAATTGACTTTAAACTAGTAAAAACGAAAGAAACATTCTCCATAGGAGAATCAAATGAAAATATCTTAAGCTACACGTTATTTGTGAATTCCAAATTGTAGTTAACTGCTTAAGAATATGCTAGGTAAAAGAGCCATTAAATGGGCTAACATATATGATCAATAGCTATGGCAAGTTACTCAAAATCTTGCTGGAAACTGACAAAACAACATAAACACTTATAAATTTACACTGAAATATTGTTTCTACAAACATATTTCCTTTACCTCACAGCAGTACAATGAACTCAGGGTGCTGCTCCAGGAGAAACACCATGTGGGTCTTTCCCACGCACCTATAACTTTACTACTAGGCTGCAGCAATAGGCAATGCTAGGATTCAGAATACACTCAGGCTTGTTTTCATCACCAATATATGGACAATAATTTTAAACCCCCCATCACTTTTTTTTCTAGTTCTCTCTATATATTTGTTTATTTGGTGTGTTTGCAAAGATTTATCTCTTTGGATTGCTTTTACACATTAAAAACAAGTTTTCAAATAACACTGGTTCCTAAACATAAAGATTTTGACAAATAAAACAAGATTTGCAATTGTTACTTTTACTGCTATACATTCATGTGTTAACAGGTAGGAGACTTTGCAAATTTAGTCAAACCAAAGTTATTTTATTTCTTCCTGACAACTTAAAATAATTGACCACCAGCAGCGAACAACTGCCATCCACTCACACTATCTGCAACCAAAGTCACTTAATGAAATAAGCCAAGCAAGAAGGGTGACAGAAAGGCAATTAAAGGGTTCCACTGATTAAAAAAAGAAAGAGAAGGTAATGAAGGATTAAAATTAGTACAAAATCTCCAGTTTCATTTCAAGTATATGTATTTGTGATTCCATTTTAAAAGTGTTCAGAGAAAATTGATCTCATGGACATTTTACTTACCTTTTAATCTTACTATTAACTAATTTCCCTTGTAAACATATGCATGTCCAAACGTCTTCACATTAGAATATTGTAATTAAACTATTAAAAAAGCTAAGAAATGACAAAAACTTACAATACCTATACACAAAACAAGAAAATAGATTTTGATACAACTCTCAAATAAAAAGGCAACTTGCATTTTAACAAGATTTAAACACTTAAGAAAAATCATTTCTGAGAGCTAACAGTTCTGATAAACACCAATGATCTCTTGCAAAAATACTTTGCTCACAAAATGTTTTTAAATGAACTGGCAGTGGTAAGGATATTTTGAAACTGAAGAACACCAGTGCAAACCTCTCGAGCTGCACATTATCTCTATCTATGGTACACAAATACCCAAAGCACTGCCCTTAAATTTTAGACAAACTTTAAAAGTCAATGCCTACTATCCAAAGATCTCTTAAGTAATAAGATCTTTAAAACATATTTAAAACAAATTATCTTAAGGATTTTATCTCAAATTTCTTTAGTACTTCAGATTTTTAACTTCCTATAAAAATAAGTAATCAAGCTGACAGACTGTCTCTGCTAATTTTGCAGAACACATGCTAGCCAGGTACTTTGAATACAGCCTTTGGGCTGGGATTAAAAGGAAAAAAATTAAGAGTCCTAACTTTAATCAAGCATAAAGAGGGTTACATGAATTATACACAGAATTCTTTGAATCATAAAGACAGGGTGTAACTATAATCTCCCATTACTCACACGGAAGAATAAAACCCTTCAGACTTTCTACCCAGAAGAACAGTAGGACTTTCTTTATTCACATTTATCTGCTGTATGACTATATTTACACTGCCTATAGAACCATCAGCAAGAAACAGTAAACTACTGTCAGAATTACCAAAATCAGAATTACCAAAACCTCTCTTAAATGCTAGCACTTCACAATTAATTATTTTAGTAATCTCGGGAATAATTAAGCTGCACTACTGTAGCAACACATGAGTCTTTACCAAAAAAGTTACAACCTCAAATTTTTGACCCCTAACACACTGACTGGATTGCTATATCTGCCAATTTCAATTTTTACAAGTTTACATACCATTCAGCAAAATCACAAGCTAACTAGGTAAAAACAGCTTAAAAAGCAGAATATAGAAATATTAAATATCCATGTAATTACCTATTCTAATATCAAAATCAAGGGCAAGAGACACTTAATTGGTTATGTTTAATTCACTGAACGCAAGATTAAATTGATGCATATCCAAATACCCTATTGCAATGCTTTTTTTTAAAGGACAGTAAAAATGTTGTCATAGTAACATTATCTTTAGATATTGCTGAACACAAGACTTTCCCTGAGGTGTAAACATCAAATAACTTTACACATCAGCCCCATTAAACAGTTTATTACAACACTACATCTATTGTAATCAAAGTGGTGCTGTTTACAGACATTATCATATGAACATTTTTAACAAGAACAAACTACTATAAAAACAAGCATTTACTTGAATTTTTTCCAATGGCTTGCACATTATAATAGCCAAATATATATAACCAGTAATAAAGTTGCAAAAGCTATTAACTTTTTAATCACACAGATTTCCTTCAAATAAAACAGTTAAGCAACATAAAAAATAAAAGTAGAGCTACTGGTTACCATTTATGCAGATTTGCTTTATTCAGATCTATTCCTGTTCAGTTTATCCATGAATCCTTACAGGTTCAGTTCAATCACAAGAAGCAAACTGCTGGACAAGCGTCACTTTTCCCTCATGAAGACTGTTTGTCTTGGAAGGTGTTCCTCTTCCTTCAGCTGTAATGTGTCAAAATTTGTGATGTAGATTTTGCTATTCCCCAGAATACACAGAAAAATGTTGGCTTAGCTACACATACACAAGTCGTGCATCTACTCACTCTTAGGAATTCTAACACAAAATAAAAGGTAACTCAAACAGGAGCTGCTTGCACGGTGGAGAAATGCTCCAGATTTACAGATGCCAAACGAGAAATTCTCATTTCGTTCTTTTTATACATTTCTACCTTTGAAGTTCAGTGATTGTCATCTGAAGACCAATATTTTGTACAATATATATGAATTTTTAAGAGTAAAAAATTACAAAAGCAAATACAGCAGCTACTGTTTCTGTGATGATGAGAACAGTCATACATCATTTCCTAAAATATGCATACTACAAAATAAATGGGAAAATGTTTGGATTTGAATGTAGCTACTTTTCATTCATCCACACAATTTATTAAACAAATGCTGAACTGAATATAAAATGCAATGAAATTTACAAATTAACTGTAATTTGACAGCATACACGAAATTCTGTCAATCTGTTATAAACCAATGGTGTTCCATGTTACAAAATTTATAAATACCTCAGCATGGACATTAAATATGACATCCACATACAAATCTTTAGACATGATACAAATTTGAGACGTTACTTTCATTCTATTTCTCCTATATCCACTGACCAAACAGAAACTAATGGGAATCTACAATGATAAACTTCATTGAAAACTTACATAAAGAGGGAAAGGGAAACGAATAGTAAAATTGAGATACTATAGTTTCAGGAATATATACATATATATAAATAATATATATGTAAATCCAAAAAAACATTAATTTAAAAATATCATTGAAATATCAAATATTTAAAATAGAAATACTAAAGAGGTAGTTTAATATTTTTCAAAAGCACACAAAGGTTAGTGACATCCTGTCATAAAAATTTTAAAAGATCCTATGCTATTTATAGTTAATGGTAGTTTCGATGACAACCATAAATTGTGTTCAATTATCTTTAGGAGACTCTTAAGAATATCAGTATATAGACACATATTCACACTTCCTAATAAAAACATAAATCTTAAAGGTACAAAAGGGTCTTTCTCATCTAAATGCTTTCTATACATCTGTACTTTTTAAACAAACATTTAAGCTATTTATAGTATCACCTTTTGTCCTTCCACTTTCATGTCAGTTTGATGAGGCTTACATAGAGAAACTACTTAATAGAAAAAATGTGTGACGTCAATTTTGAAATATTCTTATTTTACAGGTTACAAAATTCTAGTAGGACTAGAATTTTTCTGTTTTCTGGACTTGATACTAAGAATGAATCAAGGACTTCTCATATGCCCATGACCTACGAAACAGTACACTCCCACCACTAGTGAAATTTAAAAACATTAAGGCATTAGAAAAAGGACAAAGCACATATGTTTTAAGCTGCTAAACAGATTGCAGGGAAATTCATAATTCCTACTAAAAAAGGAATGCTATCTCCCCTAATATTTTTGTTGTGTTACAAAAGATTAAGAATGGATCACTGAGAGACAAATCATTTTAAAATCACAGTGTGGGGATAGGAAAAAAAAGAAAGAAAATCAATCTTTCAAAAAGCCACAGGGTGGTGGTGACGCACGTCCTTTAATCCCAGCACTTGGGAGACAGAAACAGGCTGGCCTGGTCTACAGAGAAAATTCCAGGACTATAAGGTAGAGAAAGGCTGTCTTGAAAAACCAAAGGAAAAAAAGCCACAAGGGGGGCTAGAGATATGGCTTAGTGATTAAGAGCACTGACTGCATTTCCAGTTCTCCCAGAGGTCCTGAGTTCAATTCCCAGCAGCCACATAGAAGCTCACAACTATCTGTAATGAGATCTAGTGCCTTCTCCTGGCCTTCAGGCATAGATGCAGGCAGAACACTGTATACGACATTATGGATTAAAAAAAAAACAAAAAACAAAAACAAAGCATAGGGTACATATTACCATGACCCTAATTTACTATTTTTATATAGGAAATCTTGTTTGTGATGTCACAATACACATCTTTATGCAGGACTAATGAACTCATCTTTTGCTACGTATCTTTACGTAAGTCTTCACTAATTAATAAATCCTAAAATTTTACCATACAGACATAAAATTTAGGGAACATTCTAGAAGCTTTTATTTCTAGTTCTAAACACTTTACATAAACACAAATTTTACAATCTCAAACGGAAGCAAACTTTAAAGGCAATACAACCCATTTCCAATAACCCAATTCCATATAATAATCTCAAAGTCTAAGTAGACATCTGCATAAACAAAGATTATCAAAAAGCTTCAAAGTGACAAATACATTCAATACTGGTATGTTCAAAATAGCATTTAATCAACTCTGTACTGTCAAGTCGCACAATTACTTGCTCTAGCTGTCAGTTATAAAAAGGGAACCTATGTAAACAGCTATTAAATGAACCAAGACAGTGCAACTAGTTTCAAAATCTGCAAGCTAACGCAAGCAGTATAATTTTAATACAGAGCAAAATACCTATATTTTGATGTGGTATCAAACCATTAACAACTCAAATTGAGTGTTCATCACTTAAATGCAAACTTGGCATTATTTGTATTTTAAAATTCAAGAAAAAAAATCATCTTTTAAAGAAAAGCATTTGAATATTTATTTTATAGAATTCTCATAAGTTTTTATACTGCATGTTTGTATTTATTTCTGAAATAGGATCTTAGTATAGAGGCCCTGGCAAGCCTGGCTGGCCTGGAGCTCACAGTATCTTCCTGTAGTCTCTAGGTGTTGGATGAGGTCAAGGTGTGCACTACCACACCCAGCTCTTACAGGTTTTCATATTAATGTGCTGAGTCAAAAAGGATCCTCACATAATTTTAGAAATTCAATGCCTTTAAATAAATAAAGTTTAATCTTCTATATCTGGAAATTTCTCCCTAATGAGGTTTGGGGATGAAGTAGGCAACAGAAGCATCTAAACTTATATTAATTCTTAAGTTTCTTTTTATATGGACTAGAACACAGTACATAAAAAGCAATTCTTTTTATTACTGGTGCTCACAAAAAGTTTCTAGCTAACCAAGAGTTTATACTGTCCTGTTTTTCTCTAAACATCATACTTACCCTTACTCTACAAAATACATAATTAGATGTTCTATGCAACTGACTCCATGGTAGAAATAAACTCCATTACAAAAAAGAAAAAAAAATAGACTTTGTATCAAAAAGAATCACCCAAAAGACATGGAGATTTCAAAAGAAGCTGTTACTTACAATTCACCTACATCAAGAGGTAGATAGAACTTTCTAACCACAGAAAGCAAAAACATTAATTTGGATTAACATGAATGGCGCTCTTCTCTTACTGGTTAGTGGGTTTCCTTTAAACAATGCTAACTGAATATTCATTAAAAAATATACTTATTCAAACAATCAAATATACAAACTAAACAATGGTAGGAAATTTCACACTGAGATGAAAGTGAGAGCAAGGTGACTCACATTGGCATTCAAATTTTTTTAAGACAGAGAAACATCAATTATTTATAATCAAAATTATATTCTTAAACCACAGTGAGCAAAAAATACATCCAAGGGATCACTTCCTACTCTTTCTTGTCACTTCAATTAAGACACTGTAATAAGACAGATTTTTCAAATACTAAAAATATCAGAAATAAGAAGAGAAATGAGAACCAGCATAGCAAGATAAAGCACAGCAACTGAGACAGATGGACACAAGGCTGGGGAGGAATACTAGGCAGTAACAAATGACCTAAGAGATGTAGAAATAATTAAGATCTTGTTGACAGTCAGTTATTGTTCATCAAGCAATGAAAAGAATTTTCACAAAAGCCTCAGCATAACACTCCTAAGGAGATGAAACATCTTAATTTGGGCTTTTCCTCCAAATTAACACAAAGCTATAGTAACCTAAGTAAGCAATACAAAGTATCCTAAAGTAATTAATTAAATTCAAATTCATGACATTTACACCAAAAGTAATCACATGGCCACACTCCAAACACAGTACTTAGTAAAGAATATAACCACTTGAGAAATGTAAATTTCTTAAACTAGAAAGAGAAGCCTGAATAAAAAGCATCTCAAAAAAAAATTTGCTTTCATTATTCTCCAGTACACAAACTCAGTTGTTAGCAGAAACTTCTGAGCTGAGCAGAACTGTTCTAAACAGTCAGGTGAACACAATCTAAGAACTCAACTGTAACTGTAACATTTCTTTATGAACACAATCTTACACCTTTTATTTTGCTCAGAGTGGTCTGAGAATAAGGCAAAAATTACAGAATATGAAGCACAATGCATTTACACACTGGAATTTACAAAACTTTTCTCATTTAAGTATTATTACCTATTTGAACTTGGATATGAAATGCTTTTAGAAAAACTAATACAGTTTTCAAATGAGAATGTAATTAACATTACCCAACAGTTCAAACACAAAAAAAAAAACTTAGGATGGGACAGACATTAACAGCTGCCAACCAACATCAAGTTTCCAGAATCTGCCCTTTCCCACCTCAACACTTGATAGTGTATTACATTATTAACTTATACAAAGACTGATATTTACTTTATTGTTGAAGCACTTCTTAATCCATTTAAGAGTTACATGAAAATTCAAAAGGACTCATATTCAAAAACTTCTAAAGAGGTCAACAGACCTTATAAAGTAGTAAAATTTGCAAATAGGTTTGCACTTGAATATATATATTTAATCCCAGCCCCCACCCACTTACATCTACTTACAATAAATATTGCTTGGCATATAGCAATGGTACAATAATCCAGGAAAACATCTCCCCCCACTCCTCATTAGGAAGGCTTTTGTAAAATTTTGCTTGGATGAAGGCACACAACAATATTACAACTCAATTCTGATTAATGTACAAACAAAACATGGGATTTGGGATATGGTACATCACTGATTGCAAAAACATCAACAGCTTGACACTAGGAAATTGTGGTTGATGTCTGAAAGACATGGAACTCAAATCATGACTATATTTAAGTATATACGCTTGACTGGAATATATATCCAAAGTATGTAAAAATTAACAATGAAATTTTCAAAAGGAACATAACCTGCTTTACTGAATTAATTTTAAAGACCCATGAGAAAACTGCTACTTATTAACTACATATGAATTGTTTAGAGGCCCCTTGATGGGCACACTGAATAAATGAAAATGTATCCAAGTTTCACTGTCATTGTCTTTGGTAACTGTAAGATAGTTGATAAACTGCAAAGTCTAAAGTAAATAATTATAAAATACAATGTGTAGAACCTGTACCTTATCAAATGACAAAGAATTAGACATTTCAAGTAATAACCTAATCAGAATTCACCATAAGGGATTTTTACTAGGAATAAAAACTTCATTTAAAATTTAGTTTAGTTTTATATGGTACAATGTTCAATTTTTATATTCAAGCATCACCAACTTTAGAAATTTTAAAACTAGATGTTTTGAGAATTAAAACTTTTAATACAACATAACTAATAAAAAGGTCTTAATGAATATTCAAGGACATATTAAAAATGTAAGACAAGGTATTAAAGTCATGTTTCTCATTTCAAAAAACCCTGAAACGGCAAGAGTGGTTAACTCTTATGCTTCATAAAAATTAGACATCTTTTTTTCTCGTGTGCGTGTGTCTGAGTGTGTACGAGAGAGAGGTAATTAAAGAAACTGCTGTCACAAATTATATACACAATAAAGCCAATTACAATTTAAATATTAACAATTTTCAGGACTGGATTACCAGTAAGTTTCCTTGAAATATTTACATATAGAGGATTTGTTTTAAGCCTTATCTAACTCCAATATGCCATCAATATATGGAACAAAGGTGTTAATAGATTAACCTGTCACATGCAAGATTCACAGTGCTCTTTCCCCATTCTTCATGAAACATTGTTCACAAATATAAAATAAAATTACATGTAAAAATGAAGCATAAACAGACAACCCATTCTACTTTATGAAAAAAGTACACAAAATTTTAAAATACAGAAAAAAAGACAATGATTATGGCTTATGAATGAAACAAGGAAAATTATTTCCAATTATTTCTAACTTGGGATGTATGGCTTAGCACAACTTAACGCTTTTAGATTATGTACCCTGAACCCACTTTATACCTTCTGCACAATTAAAAAGATAATGCTCCTTTAAAAAAAAAAATCAAATGCCAGAAATTTTTTTCTAAAATGTAATTTTTTAATGGGAAAAACTCTTTCAATGCTGAAAAACATCTTTTTATATTATTATAAACTATTATAAAGTTAGATGTTCTTAAAAAGTTTCAGGGACAAATGAAGTTAGTTCAAGGGAGAAAGGACAGAAACTTTATTTTTGAAAATCCAAGCACATAATATTCATATCAGAAACAATTCCCTGTTGTTTTATAAATATTTTAAATCATATGCAAACAATAAATATGATTACAAGAATCCAAATTTTTAAATTTTAGAAGTACACAATGAGTCCTCTTGATTATTTTTTTAAGACCATAAACAATCTGAAATCTAAGTCACAGAACACTTGCAGAATTCAAGGAAAAAAGGTCAAGATTTTTTTACCTGTGATGGCTTACCTGCTTTCAGATGTTTTCAGAAGATTAAATCAGAACAAGTACTTGGACCACTTAAAATGTAGGTATATTTACTGTATAAACAACAGCCTTGGAGTTATAATTACTGTTAATAGCACACACACACACATACTAAATATAAGAATAAAAAATAATGCCCACCTTCTAACGATGACGGTATTCTCGCTCTCGGTCACGCTCCCGGTCACGGTCCCTATCCCGATCCCTGTGTCTCTCCCTCTCTCTGCTTCTCTCTCTGTAATAATCATCATGACGATCTCTACTCCGAGATTTATGACGCCGACTCTTTTCCCGTGATCTACTATGGTCCCTTTCTCTTGATCGTTCACGTCTTCTAAAAGAAATTACTGGATTAATGCTCTCCATAGCTGGGAAGCTTCAAAAGACATTCAATATAGTTGTCTTTTTTATCACTAGTTTCATTTTCCAGTTTCTAGTTTTCAGTTACTAGTTAACCAGTCTAAAAATATTAAACGTAAAATTTCAGAAATAAAATATTTTTATACCATTCTGATTAGCTGTAGGAGTGGAGGAAGCCAGCATAAATGAAGTTCTAAATCAAAGTACACTGGCTATGTGGGAGCTCCAAGGCTCCTAATACTCCCATGTAACATTGGCAAAAAAGGTTCCCATAAAGGCAGGCTCAAGATGGGGTAGCAAGCTCCCATCAAGAGTCTGAGTGTTTATGAAGTGTGTGCAAAGACTAAACAAAGGCAGCTTCTCTGGGATGTCTTTTTAGAATGCAACTACTACTCTACAGAAATCTACCTAGATAGCTAGTCCCTCCCAATAATTGAAGCTAATATATGCACAGAAGTTCCAGGATGCAGCTGTAGCAGAACCTTCCTGATCCTGACACTACTCAAAGTGTGTCTGTCCCTTCAGGTGCAGCCCCTAGTCATGGTTCTAAGACTCAAAACACCTAGACTGTGGCAACCATCATGATGAAATCTTTTTTACCATCTTACTTCTTCCTGCCAGCACTGTGACCCATCCCCATCCAGTGTATCCACACTCTATGCTGCGTCTCAAGGATTACAGTAGCACAGTGCTTATGCTTGGATAATCCTTAGATTATTTAGTAATAGCCCCAAGCTGTGAGAGCAGTGATGCTTGACAGGTAATCTGGACATTGTTCATTTAAGGGCAAAGGTGAAAATGAAAGTCATGCTAAAGTTGCTAAGGTTTACATTGAAACTCTGAAATAATGAAAAAAGAAATCTATGCTAATTGATTGGAAAAACCCAATCATAGCCGAAGCTCATGATAATTCCATTAGGTTAAATAAGAATTCTTTTATGTGATTTCTTTAACATGTAAATGGTTAAGTGTTAAGCTATTTGATCAAACTAGATGTCCTCACAAAGCAACAGGCATGATATGGTCTCCAGTTATGACAAATCTGTTCAAATATGCACATACTTAAATAGAGCCCAAAAGGTAGTAAGAAAGGAAAGACTGTGTCCAATATAAACTCCTTTTTCTTAATTAAGATACTACCTCCAGAAAAAGCATATTAAGGACAAAGTATCATACAGACAACTGAGAGCCAGCTCAGGAGTTAAAAACACTGGCTGCTCTTCCAGAGAATCAATATATTAAAAATGTAGCTGAGTGTGAAATCACAATAATCAGGCTGATTTCTGTAAGTTCAAGGCCAACCTGGTCTACAAAGAGACTGACTCAAAAGAGGCAACATCATGTGAAGACTAAACATTTACCTCCAAAAATACATAAAATTTCAAGATTAGTAAATGTGCTTTAAAAGTAACCTTTTAAAAACTGTATCTATTACAAGGGCTGAAAAGATGGCCGCGTGGTTGCTCTTGCAGAGGACCAGGGTTTGATTCCCAGTACTACAACCATCACAGCCATCCTAACTCTAGATACCTCAGGCACTAGCACACATGTGGAATACATGTATCCTGCAAAATATTCATACACATAAAATAAATCCAAAATAAAACTATCTGTTACAAAATACATTACCACACATTCATCTATTTATCAATCCCCTCTTTCAAAAACATCCTTTATCAAGCAATGTTTAATAGCTAAGGCCCCTGTCAACATTCAACATGTGTTCAGTAAGAAATAAGCATCAATAATAAAGACTAGATGCTACAGTAAATACTACAAAAGAAATAAAATATGACACACTAGATTCAGTTGAAACATGAAAAATGAAGACAAATGTATAGAGGAAAGAAAAACAAAAGAACAAATAAAATGGTTCCAAGGAGGAATAGCAAACAGTGAGATGGTCAATGCTTGCTGTGTCCACAGAAAGGGACACCCATTTGGCTAGAACAGTGAGTATGCAAGCTGTCAGAGTCAAAGTAGAGATTATATCTGCTTATGTGCAGTTAGTCTAAGAATAAACAGAAGCCATACAGTTCCTTGTATATAATTTTACTCTAAGCGAGTGCCTTGAAGGATTTTAGGAAGCACCAAGATGCCATTTAGAGTTAATCAAAAAAAAAAAAAAAAAAAAAAAAATCCACTCAGACTGCTGGGGACACATTAAGTAAAATCAGAGTCCCATTTTTTTTTTAGATTTATTTGTTATGTATACAGTATTCTGCCTTGCATGTATCCCTATGGGCTAGAAGAGGGCACCAGATGTCGTTACAGATGGTTGTGAGCCACCATGTGGGTGCTGGGAATTGAACTCAGGGCCTCTGGAAGGGTAGCCAGTGCTCTTAACCACTGAGCCATCTCCCCAGCCCCATTTTCTTTTGAAGTTCCACTTTGTCATTGTTGTTTTTTTTTTTTTTTTTTTTTTTTTTTTTTTTTTTTTTTTTGGTTTTTCGAGACAGGGTTTCTCTGTGGTTTTGGAGCCTGTCCTGGCACTAGCTCTTGTAGACCAGGCTGGTCTCGAACTCACAGAGATCCGCCTGCCTCTACCTCCCAAGTGCTAGGATTAAAGGCATGCGCCACCACCGCCCGGCTTTGTTGTTGTTAACTATTTAAAAAATACATGAGACAGGAAAGTTTTACCTTGATCCAGAGCCATAGGACTTGGACTCAATTCCATGAAGGCAATCTTGCAAAGAACTAATAAGAACTTTGCAACGATCATCTGCAGATACTTTGGACTGTTTAATTAAAGAAATTGCTGTTACCAATGTTTCAATAGCACTCCCATAATCACCTGCAGGGAAAAGAAAAAGTTAATAGCAAACAGTTTCCAAATTATCATCAAACCAACTATTTTGGAGTAAGAATGATGAAACAATTTTTTGGAAGTGTCTTTTAAGATGACCATAAATAATGACTTTTGTTCAGTGTCTTGAAATTTGCAAAATTCTTGTGTTCATGACGCTAGTGACTGTTGTTTCATGCAGAGGGACAGTTATTTTGCAAATATGAGAATAACTGAGCTATTTTTAGAACTCTGAACTACTGTATCAAAGTTAATATTTAATCTTTATATGTATACAAGTGTTTTGCCTACATATGTCTTGCATTACAAGCAAGACTGGTTGGTGCCCATGGAGGCCAAAAGAGGATATCAGATCCCTTGGAACTGGAGTTCTTTTTTAAATAGACTTAATTCACTTTTTTTTGTATATAAATCCTTATGTGGTGGCCACAGCTGGAGTCTGGGTCCTCTGAACAGAGACTCTGGTGTGGGTTTTCACAAGATGGTCAGTGAATTCCTGATAAGAAGACTTGGAGAACACAGACTCCTGCTAGAGGTCGAGGGTCAAGTAGCTATACTTTAGAGATGGCATCAAAGGTAGCCTTGGCAAAGTTGCCCATGATGGCAGTGAAGCCCCTGGCTGATGTGCAGTAGTCATCAATACCGGCCATCATTGGTAGCTTCTTGGGCACAGGGGCACAGTGCTTCTGGGGACAGGGGTGAGATGTACCAACACAGAGTTACAGTGGCCTGTCACCTTGTATAAAACAGTTTGAGGCTTGCCAAACGTGTTCCCCCAATTGACTCTCCCCACAGAGACGATGGAAAGCTTGGCCAAGATGATAACCCCTTGGATGGCACTTAACACCAAGACCAACATCACCATTTTCATTCCCAATAGCCCCCACTTCAACCACAGCCACAGCCTCGACCATGACTGTGCCCCCTGTATTTGCACCAGCGTCATCAGCCATTTGGAGTTTTCCCAGAGAAGCTATAGATGGTTCTAATCCATCACATAGGTGTTGGGAAGCAATCCTGGATCTTCTGGAGGACAGGCAGTACTGTTAACTCCTAAGCTCTCTCTTCAAATCCCAAAGTTAGTTATTTTTAATTTTATGTGTATGAATGTTTTGTTTGCATGTACATCTATGTGCCATGAGTGTTTGGTACCCAGTGAGGAAAGAAGAGGATACTGGATCCCAGCACTAGCAGCCAGTGCTCTTAATCAGAGCCATCTCTTTAACCCCCAATTAGTATTTAAATCTAAATATAGCAACTTAAAATTGGTGGTCTTTCCACTACAGACATGCATCTTCCTTCAACACTTTAAAATTAAATGATAATGATTTGGGAGCATATAGATTACATAGAGAGTAAGAGAACTATCTTTATAAACTTCACTTTAGATTTGGGTTTCGATTTTTTATTTTTACATTTTATTTTATGTGTACGGGCGTTTTGAATGCATGTGTGTCTACTTACTACAAGCATGCCTGGAGAAGCCAAAAAAGGGCCTCAGATCCTCAGGAACTGGAGTCAACAGACCGTTGTGCATTAACCCAGCGTCTTCTATAAGAGCAGCTAGTTCTTAACAACTGAGCCATCTCTCCAGCTCCTGGGTCTGGGGTTATTCTTAATATAAATAGCCATGTTAAAGAATGAACACTAAAACAAATATACAAACCAGCACTGGCATCAGACACAGCTCTTGAAATAGCACTGCTTGAGATGGCCCGATTTCTATTCATGATTTCTTCAAACTCAGCTTCACTCAATGGAGTTCTTGCAGTATCCATTTCCCTACAAAAGACAAATAAATGTTAAAATTGTTGGTAACAATGTAAACAACTCTACACTAACAAGATTTGACATTTGCCTAGGAGACAGCTGTTACTTTTCCTGATTCAAGAATGCTATTTTCTCTACCAGATCAAGCCTAAGCAAAATTCCCTTTATCACTGTCTTTTGGCTGAAGTAAAACTGGCAGCATAGAAATCATCTTCCTGAGGACAGAAATTATTTATGTGTCTACAATGTAAAAGACTTCCAGTCACAGTTCTTTATCTTTTCCTGACTGCATTTAACTCACCTCCCAGGAGGACCATAGTCACCCCTATCGTACGGTGGAGGTCGGCCATAGGGGTCTGTGGGCGGTGGCCCACGACTATCTGACGTTGGCATGCCACTATTAGTTGGTGGAGGGAAAAAAGCAGGATTCACATGTGGAGCTGGTGGTGGGGCACCTGGAGGTGGTCCCGGAAGGTGTGGAGGAGGAGCAAGTGTGAGGGGAGGCCCAAGTGGACCTGGTGGTCGAGGTGGAAAGGGGCCTGGAGGTGGAGGCGGTCCCTGCTGTGGAGGCGGTGGGCCAGGAGGAGGGCCATAGCCTGGAACTGGAGGCGGCGGCCCAGGAGGAAGTGGACCCAACGGAGGTTGCCCAAAAGGTTGTCCAGGAAAAAGAACTGGTGGTGGAGGGCGGTCTCCTCGATTGGGAGGTCCTGCCAGAGGAGGTGGCAGGACCTGACCAGGAGGTGGAGGACCTGGTGGACCAGGTGGGCCTGGAGGACCCAATGGTGGACGTGGTGGAGTCTGTCCGGCTACAAAATAAAGGAGAAAAACAGTTCAATAAAGATATTAACTATTATATGCCAAGATTTTATTTCTAAAGCAGAATTCATAAACCATGACTCTCTCTTTAAATGAAACCCATATGGTAATGATCTAACAACTACAAAGGTGAAGAATATCCTCACAAATTTAACCTCTTCAAATTATAATTAAGAAAAACCACAAAAACAAAACGAACAAATTTTAACACCTAAAGATACTTTCCATCTCTGAGCAAACACACTTCTTACAGTGACATCACCCACCTTATATTCTACTCTGATGCCAAGCTAGAAAGTGAAACAAGGAAAAATGGTCTTGAAAGGATTTTTTAAGAGGTAAGAAAATAAGACGGATGTAAATATTCTATATATAAGTCAAGCAAGTTTGGAGAAAAATAAAGACCTTTTAGGCCAAAAATGGGTATTTCCTCTATGCTGTGCCCCATATGCCATGGAATCCTAGTTTCCAGGAACAAAGGCCGAGTTCCTTTAACAAGATGCTTGATCAAATTTCCTGGGTTCCAAAAATAGCATAACAAGGAGAGTAAGTCACATTAATAATACATTACTTGAAAAAGAGAGAAAAGGAAAAGAGGTATTAAGCAGACATGATTTCTCCATGATAAACTTAAGCAAAGTTTTACCTGGGAAAGGTGGAGGTGGCCCTCCTGGTCCTGCTGGCCCAGGAAATCTGTCCCCACCGGGAACAGCCCCTGGAAAACGGCCCCGTCCTCTACCACCTTGTGGAAATGCTGCACGTGAACTGCCTCCTGGAGGACCAGCTTTACCTTCCCCAGACATCTGTCCTGATTGTGTAGCTGCAAACACCCAAATACTCATAAATAGCACTTATTAAAACATTCTCTGAATTGTAACCGTATTAGAAACTACTTCACAGTTCATTTATACTATTTTTCAATTTGCAGATGCCTATGCAAAGTACTTGGCTAGGAAAACCTTCACATTTATTTACTTTCTTAAGTCTTGAAATATTTAAGTTTAATGCACTTCCACTGAATAGATAAACATGTAGCTTTTAAAATACAGGTTGCTTTTAAAGTACTCTACAGCAGCCAAGACTTCAGAAATTCAGCAAAAACCTTAATTTCAATAGCAGATTATTTACCTTATTCTATGTAACATATTCTTAAATCTTAAATGCTAAAAAAATTAAAACAAAACAACCATCTGAATTTCTATTAATTATATGGGTCATTCATCTTATCTATTTATCTATTATTTATTTATTTTTGGTTTATTTGGAGCCTGTCCTGGAACTAGTGCTTGTAGCCCAGGCTGGCCTGGTACTCATCTTATCTCTTAAAAAAAAAAAACACTATGTAATAACAAATCTCTTCTACATTATTTTTTGCCAAGTAGCAAAAGGTTTTGGTGCCAAGTAGGATAAAAACAGGTCAGTAACTATTCCCTAGTTATCACTGGCCTCTCTATTCCCATCAAACACATCCATATAGCATTCCTCCTCTCTAACGTGAATGACAGGACAAGAATGGCGGCACTATAAACTCTCAACCTGCTGCTACATGCTGTTGGGTCTGTGACATCTAGAAAAACATGGAATGGGAGTTGGTTTCCAGTATATTAGCCCATACTCATAATCAATAATTAAAACAAGTTCATCCAATAAACTAAATAGTAAGCATAATATTTAAAAAAAATACCAGCAACACTGCTTAAAATACATTAAAAAAAAAAAAGGCTGCTCAGAGATTTGCTTACTTTTCCTGGACTGCATCTCAAACTGACTCAGGAACTGCTTATTGCACGGAGTCACGACAGGATTCTGACCATGAAGTTCTCTTTTAGGCAACAGATCCATTAACTTTTTGGAAGATGCTTCAGATCCAACACCAACAAGGGCAAATCTAAAAGATGTTAAAGGGGGTGGGAATAAAAGGGAAGTACTGAGATTGTTACTGTTGACTAAAAGAAGAAATGGTCTCAATTTACACGAGTCAAAATTACTGAAAGAGTCAAAAACAGACTCTTAAGGTTACACGCATTTACACTATCTTTTATAATGTACTATGAAATTCACTCACTTAAATTTTTTTAAATATTCATGTGTTTTACAAACATCTCATGGTTAATTTCATAACACTACTCATTATCAAAAGAAAATCTACAACCTCTACCACCATTCCCATTTACTCTCTTCCCTTAAACACAGGAAACCGTAACTATTTTGTTTTCTATGGATCTGCCTCACCTAGAATTTCAAACAAATGAAATATGCAGTCCTTTACAACCAGCTTCACTTAATGTTCAAAGCCTAGTCATGACACAACATGCATCACTAATTCATTTCTTTCAGTGGCTGAGTCATGTTCCACTGCAGACAATCATTTTTTGGTTTTGCTTTAAATCCACCCAACAGGCTGTTTTCACTTTTTACTGCTATAAAAAGATGTTCCATATAGGGGCTGGAGAGATGGCTCAATGGTTAACAGCACTGATTCTTCTTCCAGGACTCAGATTCAATTCCCAGTTCCCACAGGTTCAATTCCTAGCTCCCAATTCACAACCATTCATAACTCCAGTTCCAGGGGATCCAATTCCCTCTTCTGGTCTCCATGGGCATTAGGCACACATAGAGTGCACAGACATACATGCAGCCAGAACACCTATACACATAAAATAATTAAGTTTTGAAAGATGCTTAGTACTATTAGCCATCAAGGTACAAAACCATGAGATGTAATTCCCACCATAATCAAAATGACCACTATTCAGTGCTGGTGAAAATAATAAGAAACTATAACGTTCTGCACTAATGGACTATGCAATCTGGTAGCTTCTCAAAATGTTAAGCATTACTATATACCATATTAATTCCACTCCTAGGTATATGCCCAAAACAAGCAAAATTGTATGTTCACACAAAACAATAAACTAAAATTCTTAGAGACATTCCCCTTAATAACTAAAAGTATAAATCACCCAAACATGGATTGTGGATTCTTCCTTTAGTGCTAACGCCATTACATGGAACTATTACTAAACCATAAAAAGAAACCCTGATGCAGCTACACAGACAAACCTTGAAAACACTATACTAGGTAAAAGTCAACACACAGAACATCATTTTTGTTTCCATGAAATACCCAGAAGAGGCAAATTCTGAGGTAGAAAGTACATGAATGATTGTCAGCAAAGGAGACACAGGAATCAGGGTAATGATGCACCCAGGTTTCTCTGGTGAAGGAGATGATGAAACACTTTGAAACTAGATAACTACAATGGTTGCTTAACTTGTTGCTTAACTTCGTAAATATATTTTTTGAAGCACTGTATTGTGCTCATACACATAAATTAATGTAAAATTTCCAATAATGTGCCTACTAAATTATTTATAATAGCCACATGTGGAAACAACCACAATATCCAAAAGTAAGAAAAGTAATATATATTTATCACTATTTCTTCTGCTCTCTTCAATAAAACATGACAAAGTGTGAATTATGATTCTATTTTTAAGGGAAAATATGGAAGCACATTTATAAAGTGATTATCTAAAAATGGTGAAATTGTAGCAATTTAATTTCTTTTAAATACCTGCATTACATAATAATCCTATCCTATATATGTGATTTACAGATTAGAGAATAAGCCTGTTACATTTTATTTCAGTTACCTGTCATTCTTCATCATTTTTATTTTTATGGTGCTAGAATCAAGCCCTGAGCTTTTCCACATTGTGCAAGCAGCTCTATCACTGAGCTACAGAGCTACATACTGGGCTCTTCCTTATCTCTTAATCACAACAAAAACAATGCTTCTCAGCACTGTCATTTCAACCTTAGAAGGGATGTGCTCCTAGTCTGCCCACAGGCCCAACTCAACCAGCTTCAGTGCATGTTTAAAAAACAAAACCTATAAAATTTAAGTATGAACCTCTGCCTAGGATCATCCTTCTAGTGTATATGTTCATGTGGGTGCCTAGGAACTAACTCAGTGTCAGGTTTGTGCAGGCAGTATATTTAGTAGCTAAGCCATTTGTCAGTGCTTATGTGTTCATGCGTTCTACATGTGTATAATCAGCAATAAACTTAAGGAAAACTTAATTTGTAAACTGTAATCACTATCAGTTTATATTAGGGAAAAAACTAAATTCTTACCCCTTTGATTGTCCATTTGCCCGATTCTCAAAAAATTTTATCTCCAAAATATCGTTTACTCCCAAAGAATGAACTGCTTCAGTTAAGTCCTCATCTGTTGTCCACTGCAAGACATTTCCCCCTTATTAGCCATTAAAATTTCAGGTTTTTATTGTCTGAATTTAACTTTTAAAGAAAAAAAAATGATTGATAAGACAAAATTATTGTTTACTGTAAATCTAAGTATAGCCTGTCACCCTAATTTTTAAGCAGCAGAAAAACGCCTTGCATGTCTAACTCCATTTCCAGATAAGAATTCTCTAAGTTATAAAGTACATTCCCTTGGAGACAGACACAGTTTTACTTCAAGAGTTTCTAGTTTCTAGACGGGTGTGGTGGCACATGCCTTTAATCCCAGCACTCAAGAGGCAAAGGCAGGCAGATCTAAGTTTGAGGCCAGCCTGGTCTACAGAATGCGTTTCCGGACAGATTCCATGGAGAAATCCTATATGGGGAAAAAAACAAACAAAAAAACAGTTTCTGGTTTCTACCAGCTTTAAACTCCTATGATTTTAAATTCTCAATAAAACCAATCTCACTTGTAACTTCCTCCCTTTAAAGAAAAGTTATCTTGTGAAACAAACAGGTTATTTAGACTATACCATGGAGAAACTAATACGAACTATACACCTTTTTATCAAATACTTAAAGCTTACCTAAGTCCAACCTCATTTTCATAAGATGCAATAGAGGAGATAAACAGCTTGTTCAACGTCACAAAACACAGATACATGTCAATTCTTATTTAGCAACTGCAGTCTCATTGTTTCCAAGGATGTAAAGATAGTTCAGACTGAATGCCAAGAGACTCAGTTATTTAGTTTAAATAGAGAAAAAGAGTCAAGGCTTGAGAGACCTCATGGACCCTAGGTTCAACTCCCTAGGTTCACAACCATTTAAAACTCCAGCCCTAAGCCGGGCGGTGGTGACACACGCCTTTAATCCCAGCACTCAGGAGGCAGAGGCAGGCGGATCTCTGTGAGCTCGAGACCAGCCTGGTCTACAAGAGCTCCAGGACAGGCTCCAAAACCACAGAGAAACCCTGTCTCAAAAAAAAAAAAAACAAAAAANAAAAAAAAAAAAAAAAAAAAAATAAAAATACAAAAACAAAAAAAAAATACTCCAGTCCTGGGGATTATGATGCTCTCTTCTGGCCTCTGAGGGATGCATGTCTGTGGTATACAAATACCTATACACATAAAATAAAATGAAAATAACACAAAAGCAATGTGAAGTAAAATATTTTCGAATAAAATGCTATAAATAGAACAAAAGGGTACCAAAATTTTGCTATAGCTTTTAAATTTTCAATATAATAGCTGAGAAAAAATTTTCATAGGACCACTTTAGTGATTATTTCAGATTTGATGTTAACAACATTAAGAGGGCTGGAGAGATGGCTCTGAGGAAGAACACTGGCTGTTCTTCCAAAAGTCCTAAGTTCAGGTCCCAGCCCTCTATGAGATTTAGTACCCTCTTCTGGCATATAGGCATACATGCCAGAATACTTTATACATAATAATTTTTTAAATTAGTAGATATACTAGATATACAGTTCATGAAGCATTCTACCAAATAATCTTAGTCTTATGAACAACACAATAAAAATATAAAGTATATCTAGGCACTGTGGCATTATAAACTTAGCACTCGAGGGTGGAAGCAGATGAGTTGACAGGAGTTCAAAGTCAGTCTGGGTATCAGTCTGGATATCAGTCTGGATATCAGGCCAGCCAAAGTTACATAACAAGATCCATCTCAAAAAACACCAGGCAAACACAAATATTACAAAATATATAACAGCTTCTACAGGTTAATTTCAAATTTAAGAACAAAAATGAAACTTAAATCTGTAATATGAATTAGAAAATGATGACGTTTTGAAAAATGTAGCGGCATATTTTTCTCCTATAATTTAGAATTTTGTTTGTTTGTTTGTTTTGGAGACAGGGTTTCTCTGTAGCTTTGGAGTCTGTCCTGGAACTAGCTCTGTAGACAAGGCTGGCCTTAAACTCAGAGAGCCGCCTGTTTCTGCCCCTCGAATGCTGGGACTATAGGCGCATGCCACCATCCACCCTAATTTCAAATTCTTAATCTGAGACCCCTTTCGAACTTGTAGGAATGCAAAAAAGTAAAGAAAAATGCAAACAAGGGCTGGAGAGATGACTCAGTGGTGAAAAGCATTGACTGCTCTTCCAGAGGACCTGGGTTTAATTCCTAGCACCCACATGGCAGCTAACAACTGTCTGTAACTCCAAGATCTGACACCCTCACGCATACATGCAGGCAAAATACCAGTGCACATAAAATAAAAGTTAAAAAAAAAGGAAAATGCAAACTCCATTTGAGTATATACCTAAACCAAACTATAAAATTCAAAATTAGAGCAATGAGAATGTCTTTTTAAAAGAACTTGGTTTTGCCCCTCTCATCACATACATAAGAGAAGAACAAACACAGTAAAATCATTTCTTTTTAAACTGGACAAAAAAAAAAAAAAAAAAACATGGACTGCTAGAGCAGTTCAAAATAAACTGCCAATAATCTGTTAGCTTTACTTACCCATGTTAGATTTCCAATATATAATGCAATTCTCTTTCCAGTGTACGTATAGACAACATTCGGTGCTGCTCCTTTCCCCACATCATCACCAACAGTCGGTGGAAGAGTATCCATGTAGTCCCGGTCTTCTGGGGCATCGCCATTATTTGCAGACGGAGAGATGACATCATCGTACAAATCTATCTGATCATGTCCACCATATTCCGCCTCCTAAAACACAGATATAATGTTCTAGATTATGACACCATAATACTAAGTAAATTTTAATACAAATTAATTCAATTTTCTTATTTTAAAAATCTGGTACGAGAGAGAAAAAGACCCAAAGATCCTGGTATTAAATCTCTTCTCACTTTATTTAATATATATGTTCTTTAATGGTGACTCTTACTCAAAAAATATTCTTAGAAGTAACAACGCATTAATGCAAACGGGTGTTTCAAAAGAGTATTTGTCATAAGATTGTTGCAAACAAAAACCAAAGGTACTATGAGTCTTCAATATGTGACCACAGGCAAAAACCCTAGTATTTTCTTTGGTAGTCAAATATTATTTACTTACTCCAAAAAAGCTACTGTTTTATAAGCTAAGCCATAAAAATGGGGGTGGGGGGAATGGGCACATACATGTTTGTGTCTTATTTAGTGAAACAAAAACATAAGTAAAACTATTCAAACTAATATCTTGCAATAACTATTATTATTCTCAGTGGAAACAGAGCTATTGCTTAACTCACTTAAAATCTAGTCAAGAGCATTAGCAAGTGAAAAGCAATCAATCCACACAGGATTTAGTAAAACTATGGCACTGTCACAGCAGAATTAAAGCAATGCTAGGATGTCACTTACAAGCCTAAGGATAAGCCAGGAAGAAGAGAAATGGATGTGAGAGAGATAAAAAGAGGTAATTTAATTTGTAAATATCCGTCTTTTTAAGACTACGTAAGTATATCAGTATCAATGTCAACGATCTTACCCTTCTAAGGAAAATTTGAGATAAATTAATTTAAGATATAATAAGATATAACTAGTCATAATTCAAATTCTCCCATGTATACAATTCACTAAGAACTGTCATAAATGGCATACAAGAGTTGTTTTTAGGGACTATAACACAATAATGACCAAGAAAAAAACACTGTTAATACAATATACGATAGTAAATAGATCAGTAAAATAATACTGACAGCAAATAGATCAGTAAAATACTATAGGCATCAAGTATGGCTATTGTTCCATTATTCACTAAAAAGCCAGAATAAGACTTGTATTTTGTATTAGATAGCCTGCATTACTAATGAATTATCTAAGCTTCTCAAAATCTATCAAGATGCCAGGCAGTGGTGGGAGACACCTTTAATCCCAGCAGTACTCAGGAGGCAGGAGGATCTCTGTAAATTCTAAGTCAGCCTGGTCTACAAGAGTTAGTTTCAGGGCAGTTACACTTCTCTGTGTAACCCTGTGAAAGAGAGAGAGAGGAGGGAAGGGAGGGAAGGAGGGAGGAGGAAAAAGGGGAAGGAGGGAAGGAAGGAAGGAAAGGAGGGAGGGAGGGGAAGGGAGAGAGAGGGATTAAAAAAAAATCAAGATATTACATACCAACTTTACTAATTACAAGGCAGGATTGTCTGCCAGACTTGAGACCTAGGATATCAAAGCAAATCAAAGAACAAAAGGCCACCTTCGGCAGAAGGCAGAAACCAAGACCACAAGTCACTGAATAGTGACTTTGATTTTAATGAACAATGCCAAAATAATAGCTAATAATGAGTTAACAAAGCATATACAAACTGTACTGACAGTAAAAAAATCACAAGGAGGGTAAGCTGGTGGCTGAAGCTTCTGATAATGTGCCTGCTGTAACAGTGGCTTCCATACACCCGAGACTTTAAAAAGCTTCCCACAAAGGGTAGTGGGCATTTTCAACTCTCTTGCAGTCCAGTTCTGTGCACCAAGTAAAATTATTATAATTATCCAAAAGGATCTGTGTTTCCATCCTCAACATAAACTAATCACAGATACAGTTGGAGGAAGAGTAAAAAAAGAATGCAAAGTTACTAAATACAAAACTAAAATTATTTACGCTTCTTTCACTTACAGAAAAAGTAGATAATCATTTGCAGGCAGTAATTGAAGCTATACTAACTGGTAGTGTATTACAATCACTGTTTTCTTATGTCCATGACTTCCTATGGTGACACTAACTGTATTTTCCATATTCATATTATTCTACCAGTATTTAGGATCAGCCCAGACATTTTGTCTGGTATTTGGACTGTTTCCAATCCAACTTGAAATGATGTTAATTGAGACCATGGTCCTAGGTTTTGATCTCCATGTGGACTAGTTAGCTTCACTGTGCTCCAAGCCTGTATTCTTAACCCCAAAGGTATACATTGGACTTGGCGAAAGAAAATTAATGAATCTGAATACATATATTGCCATTGCTAATAAAACAACTCAAATAATACTCATTTTCTAAGCTACTTTTTAAGCTATATTTTAAGTACTGTTCTGGATTTTAACTGTTTATACTTCAAGTGAAAATGAGCATGCTCTGAAGTTGTACAAAACGTCTATCACAGGTCATTTATATATATATATACACACACACACACACACATACATAAAATGAACTCTGGCCGGGCAGTAGTGAAACGTGTCTTTAATCTCATCACAGGGGAGGCGGAGGCAAATGGATCTCTGTGAGGTTTAAGGCCAGCCTGGTCTACAGAATGAGTTCCATCCAGGACAGCCAGGGCTGTTTGACAGAGAACTGTCTTGGAAAAAGAACAAAACAAAAAAACAAAAGAATGAACTCTGAAACCTACACAAACTAAAACTTTTCTAATTTGCAAAGAAAGCCAGCAGCATCAAGTTCTGCTTTCAGACGTCTTTGTCAAATACATTCCAATGGCACTCAAAAATGTAAAATTAAACATATTCTAATCATTTCAGATTCCAAAAACATGCTTCTAGGACCTAATCATCAATAAAGTTGCATCTCCAACTTCTAGCAAAAGAACAGCTCTTAGGCAGGGAATACTGTCACATGCCTTCTTTAATCCCAGCACTTGAAGGCAGAGAGAGGCAGGTAGATAGATGCTGAGTTCAAGGCTAGACTGGTCTACAATGTAATAGTTTCCAGAACATAGTGAGAGACCCCTCTCAAAAAAACAAAACAGGCAGGAGGATCTCTGTGAGTTCGAGACCAGCCTGGTCTACAAGAGCTAGTTCCAGGACAGGCTCCAAAACCACAGAGAAACCTGTCTGGGGGGGGGGGGGGGGGAAAAAAAAAAAC